GGTACCGCAGCGCCCGGGCGCCCCGCGGCCCCCCGAGCGCCGTCCCCGTCCCCACCGCGCGGCTCGTCCCCCAGGTATTATCACAGCCTCTTCACGCACTACCTGCCGCCGGCGCTGCGGGCGCTCGTGGACCGCCTGGCCGCCTGCGAGGACGTCCTCATGAACCTCCTGGTGGCCGCCGTCACCAAGCTGCCGCCCATCAAAGTGACCCAACGGAGGGAGCTCAGCGAGCCCGGGGAGCAGCAGGTGGGACGTGGGGATGGCAGGACGTCCCTCTGCCCTCCCCGGGGCAGTCACCACGTCCCTGAGTGTTCCCTGGGGCAGACACCGGGTCCCCGAGCAGGGCCACTCACTCCCGCGCTCTCCCGGCCAGGTGACGGCCGTGGCCGGCGCCGCCGCGCGCTCCTCCCCGCCGTGCGACTGCCTCGACCAGCTGGCGGGCTGGTTCAGCCACATGCCCCTGGTGTCCTCCCAGCTGCGCCTCGACCCCGTGCTCTTCAAGGACCCGGTTTCCATCCTGCGCAAGAAATACCGGCTCTTGGAGAAGCCCTAGGGCCCGGCCGAGCTCCTGCCGCCCTTCGCTCACTATTGGGTTTTACCAGTACATTAAAGGCTGGCGGGGATGCAGGGTCTTGTGGCTGCCTCTGGTGTCACCTCTCCCCGACAGACAGTACTGGGGCTCCTGGTGTAGCAGCGTCCGGGTGTTCCCGTCCTGCTGGTTTGCTCCGTGCGGAGCAGGGGACCACGAGGCCTTCGGCTTCCCCAGCGCAAACAGAGCAGCGATAAGAGCCGGGCGCAGGGCAGGGGGAAGGGAGCCGGGCTCCTTCCCGCTCCGGGTGCTGCGCACGGGGCCAGTCCCGCCCGAGCGGCCCCGCTCCTGCCCAAGCGCCCAAAACTGGGGGAAAAGAGCTCGTTTGGGGTCTGCTGTCAGCAGAAATAGCGCACACAGCCCGAGGTGGCAGCGGGCCCCGCTCTGTTTTATTCCCGCGCGGCGGCCGCGCTCAGTCGCGGGGCGGCTGGCACTC